AATGGCCCAAAGGCTCCCAGTCCCTGGACATTCAGAACTCAGAAATGAATTCTGTCTATGGACTTAAGCACTGGCCTGGTCAGCCCTCCAGACTGGCCCCAATAGGAAGGTGTCTTTGGGCACTTCCCAGATCAAACACATTCTATCAACATCTCCAGTCTTCCTGCAGCCCAAGACCCCAGGCTCTCATCCCTCTGGCCTTTGCTCAGGCTGTGCCTTCCCACCAACCTCCTCACACTGGCCCAGATAGTGAGGTCCTCTCCCTTGGACAGCCATTTAAATGATACTATGCCAGCTTCGGTTTTGCTAGCAATTGTACACTGATTAAGTAGTAGGTCCATTCCAAGGAGTTTACAGGCATTCCATTTGCACAACTCTCCTATGAATACGTACTATTATGTTATCCCACTGGACATGAAAAACAGGCAAAGTAAAAGTAGATGGCCCAGAGCTGTAGAGCTAGGAATGAATGGTGGGATTTGAATCCTTCCAGAGAGGCTTAGGACCCAGAGCCTTGCTTCTTTGGTCCAAGTCCCAGCTCAGTCACTCATGACTTTGTTTTCTGCACAAATTACTTGTAAGTCTGTTTCTCAGCTCTGCATGGGGACAGTGGTGTTTAGCTCACCAAGCTGTAAAAGTTACGAAGTAATGAAGGTGAAGGGTCATGCATTCCAGATGCATCCAGTAGGTAGTCCACCCTCTTTGGTTATCTTGGTTCACATACCCTATCTCCTGGGTGGAATGAATAAAGCTACAACACCAAGGTTGGAAAGAAGCCCTCCTCCTTGCCCAGGGAGCCCTCTGAGAGCCCCCTGTGTGGTATGCAGATTGAGATGAGTCAGGTCTCTGGCCACTGAGATCCTTATTTTGAGAGGCTGCTCTGCCCACCACACTGTGCTGGGGTCCCTCTCCGGAGGTGGGGCCACAGCCATGGTGCCAGGGAAGAGTCTACTATTGGAAGCTGGAGGTCCTGGGTTCTAGTTCTGTCTGTACCACCATTCACTGGGGTACCTTGGATGTTCTGGCTCTGCTGGACAGAGACAGGTATGGTGGATGCTCTGAGGGAGCTCTGAATGGTGGAGCCTTGTCCAGGTATTGAAGCTTGGGATGGTAAAAGCCAGCTTTCCAGCTCTAGGAATCACACTGGGCTGTAATCTTCAGGGAGCCAACTTCAAGGAGCTGACAGAGAGTGTCGACATCGTGTCTCTGGCAGACCTTCCATCTTGGGAGGAGAGAGCTGGTCCCATCCACCTAGAATGTCTCAGACATCAGGACTCATTTCTCAAATCCAGCAAGAGGACATTGGTCTAGCCCCAGTACTAGTTCAGTTGTACCCTGGGAGCTCTGGCCATGGGATAATCAAGTCTTTGGGCTTCTACATGTCTATCTGCTTGAACTCTGGGGCCTCTTCTCCCTCTTAGTCCACTGCCCCTTACCAGACCCAGCTCCACAGACAGTTTACATTGGTCTCATGCCAACTACTGCAGCGGCTTCAGGTCTGAAGGGACTCTAGGAGCAAGGTCCCCACAAAGCTGATGTTTTTGTTTCCATGGTAGCAGTTGCCTTGGAAGCTGCTTCCCTGACTTCAGCTTCTGAACCATCCAAGAAAGCTGCCCGTCCCTCGGGGGACCAGTAAATTAATCACACTCTGTTCCAGGGTTCTCACCCTTCATGGAAAATAAATAGAATCAAACCAAGCTGGGGCTTGTTCAACCACTCTCCCTCTACACACTCAACCCACACTTGGACGTGGCACTTCTGAGAAAGAAAGGGCGTAGACAGACACCTCCGCAGCAGACACCCACCGTAGGCTGGCACCTCTGTAGGCATACACCCTCTCAGCCATTGCCTTGCTGGGAGACTAGAGAGATGCTATGGTGGGACCTCGTATGTGCCATGGCTTAGTTGTGCTCTGAGTCCTGTGGCTCCAGGATAACCCATGCTCCCATGCAAAGGACTCTGGTACTAGGAAAGGCTAGGAACTCATGGAGCTTGGGCTGTTGCAACTCACTGTCTCCCACAGACCGCTCCCTTGAACTCATCTATAACTCCAAGCAGATCACTCAGGGACCAGCATGTATTTTCCTCAGGGACTGTCTAGCACACACTGAAGAAAGAATAGGAGAGCCTCCCTCTCCATATGTGTGTGTGTGTGTGTGTGTGTGTGTGTGTGTGTGTGTGTGTGTGTGTGCGCGCGCGCGTGCAGCTGAATGTGTGGATATGTGGATATGCATGCACATATGCATGCACGTGCACATGTGTTTGCATGCATGGAGAGGCCAGAGATTGACCTCAGGTGTTACTACTCAGGGACCATCCATCCTGGGGTTTTGTTTTGTGTTTTATTTTTGTTTTTGAAGCAAAGGTTCTCCTGGGGACCTGAGACTGACTCAGCTAGATTGGCTGGCCAGGGAACTTCAGGGATCTAACTCTCTGTACCCTTCACAGCAATAGAACGATAAGTGATGTCACCAGCCCGGCTTTTAATGCTTGTCCTGGAAATCGAACTCAGGTCCTCATGCTTGCACAGCAAGCCCTTTACTGATGGACAGCTCCCCAGTGCAGCTACATTGCCAAACAAAACGTCTCAATTTGAATTTGGTTTTAAAGATCAGGGTGTTCTCAAGTCTGGAATTCACCGATGCCTGCTGCAAGACAGAGCAAGTGGTGAAGCCCAGCCCATCCCCAGGAGCTTTGTGTTGCTGACAGTGTGGGAGAGCCACCCTCAGCCTTGGACTTTGAGAGGAGCCAGTACTGGCCCTACTGACCCCCTAGTGCAGCCAACACTTATGGGTGAGTGGGAGGCAAGGCATTGTGAATGCTGTTGAGACTCCTGAGGGAACATGTATTCATGGCCATTTATTTTGACAACTCCTTCTAAAGCCAGCCGTCAGAGATGCTTTACAAGTGACAAGGACATGGGATATAAATTGATGCCAAATTAGAGGAAAAATCAGGCCTTATCCTGGGAACATGGAGCTAGTAGTGGGAAGGCTTGACTTCAGGCAGGGGCACCATCTTTATGGGGCCTCAGGGCCCATCTATGCTTGTGGTGCTACAGCGGAGGCTCCCCGCAGATGACCCTGGAACCTTAGCCCCTCTTCCCCACACTGTACAGCAGGAGAAGGCTGTCAGGGGCTGGAGAGATGGCTCAGAGGTTAAGAGCACCGACTGCTATTCCAGAGAACCCGGGTTCAATTCCCAGCACCCACATGGCAGCTCACAACTGTCTGTAACGCCAGTTTCAGGGGACCCTGACACCCATGGCAAAAACACCAATGCACATTAAATAAATTTTTTAAAAACAGAGAAGACTGTTGGAAGAAATGGAGCTTACTTGGTGCCCTCCCCCTTATGACTCAAGATAGTGGTGCAGGGCCAAGCCCAGAGCTCTATCCTATAGCCAAGGTCTCTGTGACCATGGCATTCTGCAAAGTTCACAGCTTCCCGAAGAGGCAGAACAGAGAAGAGGAGGGAGCCAGCCCTTCAGGTGGGGTGGCAGGGCAGCCCAGGCATGCTCAGGAAGGACTGTCCATGTAGGTCTTGAGGAACAAGGAGAGGTTGGTTTACTAGACAGAGGCAGGCATATGCTCAGCAGGGCGACAAAAGAGGGGGGGGGGGGCTTGAGGAGGGAGAAGCAGTGGAGGCAGGGGATTTTGAGGCTGGTGGAGACCACAGGCATGGTGCTAAGAGACGGAGAATGAGAAGGAGGCCTGGAGATTCTGTGCAGGGTAATGTAGCCTTGGGAAGGGTCCCCAGGTCAGAGTAGGGAACAGGCCCATGCTGTAAGACTGGGAAGGCCCTGATCCACATAGGTCCAGAAATGCAGTTAATGATGAGAATTAGAGCTAGGAAAGGGACAGGAATCAGGATGAGGCTTGACTGGGTTACCACTGGCTCTTTGGTAGATTCCCCAAACAGATTGACCAGGTCAGCCAGGCTGGGTAGAGGACTCGCACTAAAAGGTCCTCACCATGTCTCAGCTTCATGACGCTTCTCGCCCAGTTCCTCCATCCAACCTACCCTAACTCACTACTTAGTACCTCTGCTTTCCCAGCCAGGAATCCCCAGGGCTTCGCCTTTCATCCTACGGGCAGCTAAAATGGGGTGGTACCAATACCTACCTAAGAGAAATGCCTACCTAAGAGAAGTCTTGGACGAAGACTTCTCTAGGTCCAGCGGCTGACAAGGTGGTAAAAGAAGTATGGGAGGGACAGGGAAGAGAGTAAACTTAGAGGACTACCCTCCTTCCGTGTCTCCAAACAGGGCTCCAGGTGCACCGCTAGGCCAAGGGGCAGAGGCCAGCAGAGTCAGCCTGGAGCGTTCGAATGTGGAGTCTCCCCACATCCCTACCCCCTCGAGCACCACATGAAGCCACAAGCCCAATCTTCCTGCTCAGGAACCAACAGTGGAACCTGGGCTGCCTGCCCATTGGGCCTTGGGGACCCAAACGGAAGCTCACATTACAAGCTCATGAATAACTCATCACCTCGCTGCCTGCACCTCTGAGAAGCCTATGTTCCCTAGGCCTGCCCCCCACAACCCCGCCTTGCATTTCTTTAAACTTTAATAGGCCCAGGCTCCAAGGCAACTAACTGAGCAGGGTCCACAGAGCTGGGACGAAAGTCTTGAGTGAGAGAACTTAGGCCCAGCTCCCTCAGGTCCCGGGTGGTAGCTGATAGAGGTGGACCCCATGGAACAGACCCACTTCCCTAGAACCCTGACCAAAGTAGAAATGTGGCCAGGCAGGAACCCCAAGAATGACCTCCAGCATCAGAGCCCTTCGCAGGAGGTGGAGTAAGCTGGGGTGCTGAGGTCAAGGGCTGGAGGCCCCTAGGAGAGTTGTGGGATAAGGTTGCAGATAAGTCCCAGAGTCAGCAGCCCAGAGACTTACAGTCCAGAAGTTTCCACCCTGGATGTGGCACTCCAGCAAGGAGGCATTCATCCAAGAAGACCAAGACTCCCAGGAGGCCTGGAAGCAGAGCCCTGGGTAGACCTGCATGGACATCCCCATCAGCACCAGAGATTTCCACTGCCTGCAGCTGGCCTGTGTGGCCCTCGGCCTGGTGGCCGGTAGCATCATCATCGGTGTCTCCGTGTCCAAGGCTGCTGCTGCTGTGGGTGGTATCTTTCTTGGTGCCGCTGGGCTTGGTGAGCTGGCACTGGGCTGAGGTGGGGGGAGATTTCACTGGAAAGCAGGGGTCTGATGAGGTAAATGAGAGACAGGGGAGGAGGGAGCAAGGGTTGTCGGTGGGAGTTGATTGGGGGAAGAGAGTTCTAAGTACTGCAGCCTCAGCGTGCAGGAAGGAGAGCCTGCCTGGAGCTCCTTTGGGTGTGATTAGGGAGGACAGACTGGTGTTCCACACCTTCCTGGCTGCCTGGTGGGATCTTGTGTTTGTGGCAGGATTCATCAGCCTGGTTGGAGTGGGGTGATAAGGCCTACAAAACAGGACAGCTCAGACAAAAGACCCTCCTCTCCTCCATTGTGTCAGCAGCAGTTCTGTCTGTCTGTCCTGACCAGGCCCATTGATGTAGAATGCCAACTCTCACCCCACCCCACTGTCCCAGGAGAACCTGGAGCTCTAGGCTGAGCACTCTAGGCATAGCTTCAAACACAGGGTGCCAGAAACACTTGGTCTGGGAGGACAGCGGAAACACTTGGTCTGGGAGGACAGCAGGGCAGGCCCCCAGCCTGTGGCTTCCTAAACATCAGGTCTGAGTGGGAAAGAGCAGCAATGGAGCCTAGAAGGTCACGCTAGAGGTCTTGGGAGAGGAGAGAGCTGGAGAGGCAGGAGGTGGGGGCAGTGATGTTGGTGTCAGCTGGCCCAGAAGAAAAGTAACCAACCTGCTCTTCACCTAAGTAGAGTGGAGCCAAGAGCCTGCAAACCTGTGGCCCACATAATCTGCAGACCCTTCCCAGGATAGGTGCTGAATCCCCAGTCAGAGCTGAGTCTGAGTTCTGGGGAGCTACACACACACACACACACACACACACACACACACACACACACACACACACTCCCATGTATATACCCACAGTCTTGATCCTTTGTACCTCCGCCCTCCTACACCATAAACCACTCACCCCTAGCCTCCTGCACCTCACACTAACCACAGCATCTCTGTGTCCCTCCTCAGGGCTCCTCATGTTCGCCTACCCATTTCTGAAGGCTCGGTTCAACCTGGACCACATCCTACCTGCACTAGGTGAGTGTTGTCCTCCCCAACAGACCTTCTGTGTGCAAACCTGTGAGTGTCACTGAACATGCCCACGTGTGAGACTGCTCCTGGCTGCACCTCTCTCTCCCTCTCTCTCTCTCTCTCTCTCTCTCTCTCTCTCTCTCTCTCTCTCTCTCTCTCTGTGTGTGTGTGTGTGTGTGTGTGTGTGTGTGTGTGTGTGTGTGTGTATGTCACCATGGTTACAGAGTAACAGAATCCAGCTCAGCTGCCTAAGCAGACATAGCTAAACCTCAGGAATATGTCTCCCTTAAGAGTCTTTTTACTCCCCAAAGTCTCCAAGATCTCCAGATGATATTCTCATCTCCAAGCCCCATAAAGACCCTCTACCTCCCCTTGGGTCCCATGACCTCTTAATAGCTCCCATTTACTTCCACAACCTACATCCAGACTCCCAACACTCTCGGTCCTGTGTAGCTTCACATATCCCCAGTTCCCTCCTTAAAAACCTATCACCCCTGGCTGGGCCGTGGTGGTACACGCCTTTAATCCCAGCTCTCGGGAGGCAGAGGTAGGCAGGTCCATGAGTTCAAGGCCAGCCTGGTCTTCATTAAATTCCAGAACAGCCAGGGCTACACAGAGAAACTCTGTCTCAATCAATCAATCAATCAATCAATGAAAACCACTACCACCTCCTTCAAGGACTCGTTTCTTCTGCCCCTCCCCAAGTTAGCCGGAATATATGGAAGACCTCGAGGAATGCAGTAGAGCAGAGACAGGCACTGTTGGAGATTAGACAGCAGGAAGAACTCCCTTTCTCAAACTGGGATTGATTTGGGAATGACCCAGCAAATGAGAATTGGGGCTACTCTCATCCTGCAGGAAACCTGCGAATCCATCCTAACTCGGGACCAGACCATGGGGAGGGAAGGTCTAGCAACAGCAGCAATAAGGAAGGTAAGCACCTGAAGTTCTGGAGTCCATCTTTATCTCTGCTCTCCGACTGGGCAGCCCTGTGGGTCCCAGGAGGAGCCTTGCGGATCACAGGCAGGGAAGGGTCTCCAGCCCAGGGAAGCAGTGATGTTGGGTCACGTGTGCAAGCCCTCCTCATTTTTCTTCAGGGTTTCCCTGTCCTGCCCTGCATGGACACTGAGACACAGGGCCCCCTACTTTCCCTTCCCCTACCCCTTGGGCCTCATGCCCTCATTCCTGTCCACTCTGCTCCCGGTGCTGGAGTCTGGCTCTTGGCAATGATACCAGAAACTGGGCATCTTCTCCCTTCCTGACCCCGTTCTCCACACTGGGAAACCCCAGGGAGGAATGTCCTGAAGGCAGCCCAGCCCCATGTTGATGTGTCCTGCCCCAGTGCTTACTCAGCAGAAGCATCCATTCCAGATGCCGCCCCAACCACTTTACATATATTAACAGGTTGATCCTCACAACCACGTGCAGGGAGGTGCGACAATAAACTTCGTTATTTGTTTGTTTTTTTATGGGGCAACTGAGGCACAGAGGTTATATGACACACCCAAGATCACAGCTAGGAAGCAGTGGGACCAGCACTGAAGCCATGCGTCAGCTCCTGAGTCCCGCTGCTCTTCCACTGCACTTGGTCCCTAGGACTCCCCACCTCCCCATCGTCCCGGCTCTGCCCTGGGTCCTGGAGCATTCTGACCCCTCCCTCTCTTTGGGCTCCCTGACCTGACAACTCAGTGGGGGGTCTTACTCAGCCATCTCCATCCTGCTGTCTCCTCCAGGAGCCCGGAGCAGCCTGTCCACTGTGACCAGAACCCTGGAGAAGCTGAAGCCTGGAGGCCGGGGAACGGAGGAGAGCTAAGGCGCTGCCTCCTGTCCCACCCTCCCCTCTCCCGGTACTCACTCCTATCTCAGGGCCCTCCTTCAAGCTAGAAGATCCAGAATTGATCCATGGGGATACTAGATGTACCTTCTCTTCCAGTGAGGCTCCTCATAGCAGATCCCCTCACTCCTGGCATCGTTGCAAGACCCACAGGACCCCACTGGCTTCAGTCCCTCCCCAGGGCTCATCGCTCTGGACAACAGCTCAACTTTGTTCCTTTGTTGATCTCTTGGTGGAATTTGGTCCAGGGTCCTGACTACAGCCAGAGATGGTTGTTTTATCCTGGCCATAGACGCTGACCACAGGAACCACAGACAGGGCTCCTAGCTGAGACTGTCATGTCTATGTCAGGAGCACAGGTGACCACGGACGAGGTGGCTTTCCAGCTAAGCCCAATGCCGACACCGATGCTATTGTACTTCTCTCGGGGCTTTGAAGCACCTGGCTCCAGACAGGCCCCCAGCATCCTCTATTCTCCCCACTTCTCTTTGCAAGGAGAGGACTCCTTGCTGCCTCTAAAAGGCCAGCTCATGACCCCATAGTCACATGTCCCCTTGTCCTAATCTAGAGGACTATGTCTCCTTCTCTCGTGGAACCTCCAGGAAGGCCTGAATTCTTTTTCACAAAAACGATTGTGTTTGTTTGTTTGTTTGTTTGTTTGTTTGAAGACAGGCTCTCATAGTGTAGGCTCAGCCATGCCTAGCTAAAGTTAGCAATTCTAGTTTTCTATTCTGAGTCCTGAACCCAGGGTCTTGTACATGCTAGGCAAACACTCTACCACTCAGTTATATCCCTAGACTTCACAAAAACCATTTTCAAGCCTACCTTGATGAATATGATGAATGATGCTTTTTTTTTTTCCCTAGTCCCTAGCACCAGGCAGTAGAACCTCAGCAAATGCTAATGGCTTAAAGTGAAGGGGGGGAAAAAAAAACCCTACCCACTAGGCTTTCCTGGAGAGCTACATTATGGCATATCTACAGTAAGGTGTGAGACAGGGAGGGCCAGGTGTGTATGCACAGGCAGAAGACTACTCCACCCTCCACATCTGCACCTCCAGGGACAGCCATATCGTTTGATCTCCACGGACACCTGCTCCTTGTCCTGCTTGAGGAGCAGACACCTGCTGTGTTGAAGAGAAGACAAGCTAGGAAGAGTCATATTCTTGCAGGGCCCATGCGAATGACTCCTCTCAGAAGCCTTTGCTGACGTTGCCCAATAGTTCCGAGGACAGCTGATCACTTGAATGGCATTCATTGGTCTGTGTCTCCATGGTGAGCATGAGAGCAAGGGGTCAGCCACACAGAAGACTCACAGTGAATGCTGGAAAACAGGCAACCTGGGATAGCCCATCTCGAGCAGGTGAGAAACATCTCAGGATAAAGGACTCACTGGCTGCCCCAGAAAAAGTCAGGGAGCCAAGCTCTGCAACCAGGTCTCCCCTCCTTTGCATAGCCATAGAGCTCAGCTCCCTGCCGGCAGTGGACTAACATCCACAAGGGGTGAATTTCACAAATGCTGGTCAGCTGTAGAGACTGGTTCCTCCAGCCAAAGGGAGGTGGGCTCTCTCTCCACAACCCTTTTGCCTGCTCCTTGCCGTTTCTCGCCTCCTCCTTTTCCTCAGCATCATCACCACTCAAGCTTCCTTGATGGGTGAGAAACCCCTTCCTCCCATCCACCCTCATGAAGTCTTACCTCTGTGCTCCAAAGAGAAGCCCAAAGGTGGAGAATGGGAATGAGAGATGTAAATCCTAAGCTGGGGAGAAGGTGGCTCCTCCCAGGCAGGATCTCCCTAAAACAGGATATAGTAAGCCTGGTGCCTGAGGGGCCAGGCACAGAGAAGTACCTGTGACCACCGTGGAATCAATTCAAAAAAAAAATAATCACATGAAAAAGCAAGATCTACATCCGTTAGGGAAGCTGGCAGAGCCTTGAGGTGAGTGGGAGCTCTGGGGACCTGGCCCTTCCATTCACCTCTTTTCCCTGCTGTGGGCTTTCTGAAATCGCCATTGTCCAGCGCGGGTGAACGCAACCGCTCCAACAGTACCCACTCTCCCCAGTGGCCCCGTGAGACACGCCTTCTCTCCTGGCCCTGCTTGGAGAAGAGAAGGGGTGGGGCCAAGCAGTAGCAGTAGTGTGGTAGGTAGTTCTTGGGCAGGACTGGGTTAGCGTGCGTTTGGGAGTGGACAGAGACCCAGCTCTTCCAGGAGTCTACTCCCAAAGGAAACTGGTTCTTTCCAGAAGCCCCAACACCTGGGCCCTGGGCCATGGCTGAGGCAGTTCAGTGTTGGGCCAGACGCTGAGAACATAGCAGTGAAGCAAAGCTGGGTGATGCTTGATCTAGGCAATCCCTTGAAGTTGCAGCCTTACTGGGCCTTATCTGGAGGGAAACTGCTCCAGGTAAGGGAGCGGAAATGAGACTCCCCATCTTGGCTCAGGCCTCCAGGGGCCAGAGCAAGAAGCTGGGAACCTTGGGCCTGACTCATCTGCAAATGGAGGTTGGCTCTGACAGGTCCTCCTGGGTCCAGGCTCAGAAGGAAGGATGCCTGCATGTGGACAGATTGGGTGGATTTGTGAATGAATTCATCGATAAATGAAGCGGCAGTGGGCAGAGCTGTCCTCGAGCCACACTTCCATGTCTATCCAGGCCTCTCTGCAGCAAAGTCCACCCTCAAGGTGCCTCTGCCCAGTGCATCCTCCCGGACCTTCATCTCGAGCCTATAGGGGCATGCAGCCACACCCCTTTCTAGTGTGCAGGACTCTGAAAAGAAACCCCACCCCTGGGAAAACTCTCCCTGCCCCCCTCCCCAGCACCAAGCCCTCCAGGGCTGCACAAATGTTAAAGACTGCAGGCAGGGGCTTCCTGAAAGGAGCTGCACTGTTTCCACGCAGGGTGAGAAAAACTGCAACCTAGACAGTGTGGGCGGCGGGGAATTAGTTGCTGGGGTGCTCGCAAACCACGAACCCAAAGGAGCGAAGGCGAGAAGGACGTGCTAGGCTTGTAGGCTGGAGGCAGCCGGGGGGAGCCCGGCAAGGCTGGCCGCCCACGCTGGGAAGGGGCTCCGGCTGCTGTGAGCCACACCAGGGCTCTGCTGTCCGAGCCTGCGTCGCTGCCTCCAGCCACAGCCCGGTGCTGCTGCGACCCAGCAGAGAGGAACTGACAGCCGATCTCGGCCTGGCGTGCCCACCCTCCCGGACCCCCTGCCTGCGTCGTTGGCTGATCCAGCTCTGCAAGGCGGGGCACCAATCCGCGCCCTGAGCCTGACCAACCCTGCGAACACCGGAACTCCCTTCGTTGGGGGGTCAGCCTGGTCACAGGAGGGGAGTGTCCACGCACCCTCTCAGGCAAGTGCAGCTGCAGAAATTTGGGGGTTACTGGTGAGTGGGCGAGGACTCTGGAGGGACTGCTGAAGGAAAGGGGAAGATGCTTATCCTGTGAGGGTACCAGACAGCGGACTGGGGATCTCTGGTCTTGAGAAAACAAAAATGAAAAAGAGAAAGGGGTTAGAGACCAGGAGAGACACACCACAGACTGGCTGCCTTGGCTCCCCCGCCCTAGCCTGGTCCCCGCTGCTCTTAGCGGATGAATCTGCTCTAGAACCTCCCTCGGCCCCCTACACTTTCTCCAATGCCCAAAGTGAGGAGAAAGCTGAGAGAAACTGGCAGATAGCAACTCCAAATCTGAGAGACAAGTGAAGCCCAGAAGACAGAGTTCCGTGGCTTCTGCGACCAGTGCTCCCTTCCCATTTGTTTCACTTAAATTCACTGAGCACTGAGGGGAGGCAAGTACTCCAGTCACGGACACAGGAGGCCCCAGGACTAGGGGAGCCTGAACTGAGGGGCACACCGTCTGCACAGGAAAGTAGAGCTGGGGAAGCTAACTGAGGACTAAGCTGACTTGGAGACCAGTTCTCTAAACCTGGTGAGCTCAGCCCCCACCAAAGTAGAATCCAGAGGGCGGGCTGCCTGGAGGAATCTGGGCTGATAGAGCATCGGTTGGAGGTCTAGGAGGGTTTTGGCAGTGAGGAGGAATGGGGAATGAGCAAGATCAAGTAGTGGAACAAGAGAAGGAAGGATGGACTGGAAAGATTCTTGGCAGGAGGCACTAACGGCCCCAAGATGAGTTGCAAGTGTGTGCAGGGGAGCCTGAGGGTGAGGGGGAGCCCAGGGCCAAGCCTGGGTGTTCCTCCTGAGGCTGTGGCCTTTGTGGGAAAAGGCAACATTGGAGAAACCTACACACAGAGGCAGTATTCCCAGGAAGTAGGGTTCAGAAGGCTTCAAAAGCAGAAACCAAGAGCTGAACAATGTCCATTAAGCTCAGTGACAAGGGGTCACTGATGACGTTGTGAATAGAGAGGCAGGAACATGGTGGGACAGAAATCAGACGGGAGTGGATGACTTGGGAAGGAAGTGAATTGTGGAGTATAGACCATGCATTCAAAAAGGGGAGAGACTGCTACCTCAAGACCATGATTGGGTTGGATGAAGATGGGACAGGCGACAGTTCCAGGAGGAGGTTGGTGAACTCAGGCCAGAGAGGAGAGTTGTGAAGATGCAGTCACGGGTATACAGCAGGCTGGTGTGGCCCAGTGGGGTTTCCTCTCATCTCCCAGGCTTCAGACTTGGGGGAAGACTTGAGAAGGCAGGAAGCTGGACTGAGACAGGGTTGAGCCTTGCTGGTCAGTACTGGCGGGACAAAGAGATGAGACAAAATCACAAAAGTGACTGAAGTAAAGTGTGGGTCACAGATGGACACAAAGAAGCAGAGACTTAGGGACCATGACAAAGAGGTAGGGCTCTGGGGGTTGCATGCCATCAAAGAACAGTTACAGCAAGGGCAGTGTGCAGTCCCGGAACTGCACTGGTTTAGGTACAGACTCACAGTTACAGCAGGGCAGTGTGCAGTCCCGGAACTGCACTGGCTTAGGTACAGACCGTTATAGTTACAGCAGGGCAGTGTGCAGTCCCGGAACTGCACTGGCTTAGGTACAGACTCACAGTTAGTTACAGCAGGGCAGTGTGCAGTCCCGGAACTGCACTGTACAGACTCACAGTTACAGCAGGGCAGTGTGCAGTCCCAGAACTGCACTGGCTTAGGTACAGACTCACAGTTACAGTGAGGGCAGTGTGCAGTCCCAGAACTGCACTGGCTTAGGTTCAGACAGTTACAGTTACAGCAGGGCAGTGTGCAGTCCCAGAACTGCACTGGCTTAGGTACAGACTCACAGTTACAGTGAGGGCAGTGTGCAGTCCCGGAACTGCACTGGCTTAGGTACAGACAGTTACAGTTACAGCAGGGAGTGTACAGTCCCGGATCAGCACTGCTTAGGTACAGACTCACAGTTACAGCAGGGCAGTGTGCAGTCCTGGAACTGCACTGGCTTAGGTACAGACAGTTACAGTTACAGTGAGGGCAGTGTGCAGTCCCGGAACTGCACTGGCTTAGGTACAGACAGTTACAGTTACAGCAGGTCAGTGTGCAGTCCCGGAACTGCGTTGGTTTAGGTACAGACTGAGGAGACAGAACCTAGACTTTAGACCTGGCTCTACCATGTGTTACCACCAGGTTTATGTCCTTAAATAATTAATTTAACCTGAATCTGTATTTCCTTATTTGTCAAAAAGGGATGATAATATGTTTACTTCTTAGGATTGTCATGGAATTAAATGAATTAATATATATTAAGGGCTTATATCACTGTCCATTTTCCATTGCTATACAGAATACCTAAGACTGTATCTTACAGTAACTTATGCTGTTCTGGAAACTGGGAAGTTCAAGAGAAGGGTGATGGCCTACAGTCCCTAATCACTTTTTTTTCTTATTGAGATGGAGTCTCACTGTGTATACCAAGCTGGCCCCTGCCTCCTGAGTACTGGGATTAAAGGCAACTTGCCCAACTCCTAATCACTTTTTAAAGCGATGGGCCTTACATCCCAGCCCCACCACTAAGAAATCTGATTTCTTCATGAGTTTGGGAGGGACAAGCCATACCGGAACCATAACAGCTTGGAACATTGTTGAGCACACAGTAAGTGCTATCAAAGAGTTTGTACAGCGATGGAAGTGGGGGTATAGTGGAGAGCCGGATGTCAGGCTCCTCCAAGGTGGGCTGATTCAGGGTGATGCCGAGGATGATAAAGTCCTGGAGGGCACCATGGGGGTGCAGAGTAGCTGAAATGGGGTGAAACAACTGGGCAATGGGGATAAGAAGTCAAGGAACTAATGGAGCAAGGGCCAGGAGGGCTGCAGGCCCTCAGCAAGATAGTAGAGAGGAGTGGGGAGTGGAGCTAGTCACAGGGCCTTAGGACGTGAAGGAAGGGCAGCTCCACTCCAGCAGTGGAAAGTCCCCACCGACCATCCCCCTGCTGCTCCAGGTAGCTCAATTACTGTTGTGGAGGCAGAACCTGACTGTCTGCCCACATGTCCCCTGACTCGGGACTAGGAATGCATCCGAGAGCATCAGGAAGAACTGAGAACAAACAAGAGACCCGGGCAGCAGCGCCACTGTTGTCTGGATGGGGACAAAGGTTGGTCCAATGGACACAGGGCTGTGACTGATGCAGAATCCTGTGTCCCCTGGGCCATCCACTGTTAGAATGAGAGCCTGCGAAGCCTGTGGAGACCTTCCAAATGGGACTCCTGCCTCATAGGTAGGGGGAGTGTGGCAGTGGAATAGCCCACGAGGAGCTCTGGGACTGCTTGCTGGCTAGAGGCACGAAGACCCACTGTAAACAGGAAGGCATCGCAGGAACACATGACGCAGAGCTTCCTCCCCCATCACCTCTCCTGAGACCACTGCTCTCAGGCACCTCACTCACCCTCCACCACCACGATGACACAGGACGTATCTAGAGATACAACTGCTAAGCAGAAGCTCGCCTCCACCAGATAGGAACGTGTCAGCCTATGTCTGCAGTTCTGGGTATGCGGCAGCATTGTGGGTATGTTTGGCTCCTGAGTGTGCATGTAGTGAGTTAGGGGGTGGTGGGTGTCACACCCTGGGAGACCAGATCAGAAAGTAGAGAAGTCCCGCACAGACTAGGAAGCCAGGCTTTCCAAAATTCCTCCTCAAACACTTCTAGGTGTGTGTGTGTGTGTGTGTGTGTGTGTGTGTGTGTGTGTGTGTGTGTGAAGGTGTGTGTGTGTGTGTGTGTGTGTGTGTGTGAAGGTGTGTGTGTGTGTGTGTGTGTGTGTGTGTGAAGGTGTGTGTGTGTGTGTGTGTGTGTGTGAAGGTGTGTGTGTGTGTGTGTGTGTGTGAGTGTGTGTGTGTGTGTGTGTGAAGGTGTGTGTGTGTGTGTGTGTGTGTGTGTGTGTGAAGGTGTGTGTGTGTGTGTGTGTGTGTGAAGGTGTGTGTGTGTGTGTGTGTGTGTGAAGGTGTGTGTGTGTGTGTGTGAAGGTGTGTGTGAAGGTGTGTGTGTGTGTGTGTGTGTGTGTGTGTGTGTGTGTGTGAAGGTGTGTGTGAAGGTGTGTGTGTGTGTGTGTGTGTGTGTGTGTGTGAAGGTGTGTGTGTGTGTGTGATTGCATATGTCAGAGGGTGGGAAAGGTTCTGGCCATTAACTGGAGAGGGATGATGGTTCTCTCTGGGCCCGGGGGAGGCAGAATCCATTTGGCAAGAGCAGAGAACTTGCCGTGTAATGAATAAGCCCCAGCAGGCAATGAGTAACAGTGATGTAGGAGGCTCTCTGAGGATGGGGTAGAGTTGAGGATAGAGTGACCATTAATCTGGGGTCCCAGAGGAGAGGCCTTGCCCAAACTTTAGGGACTAAGAAGAAAAGGAGCAGTTCCTAGTTAAGGAACAACAAAAGGCTTTGACTGAGCAAAAAGTCTGTAATACACATGGAGGACGAGGCTAGGGGCAGTGGCTAATATCTTTACCAAAGTCCCTGGGCTCTTACCCATAGGCTCTTGGAGCAGGAGCCAGGGCTGGGAGGCCTAGCAGCTGCTGTTGGCCAGGCAATTGCTTTTATTCAACACAGAAGTCTTAGAATCATGGTCTGGGACAGGCTGATACAGAGGCTTCAGGCAGAAACATCCACCCCCACAAGGAGCTCTTAGTTCTACCTACTGATGACCTCCCCAAGCTTGTTGATGGTTACCTAGGTAATTATAATCAACAGCTACAGTCTTTAAGAAAAAAAGTGTGTGTGTGTGTGTGTGTGTGTGTGTGTGTGTGTGTATGTGTATCTGTTTGTCTGTCTGTGTAGCTTCTGAAGAATTTGAGGTTTCCTCTTACCTAAACACACATACACACGTGCACAAGTACACACACACACACACACACACACACACACACACACACACACGGTGGGGGGAAGGGAGGGGGAGAGAGAGTGTGTGTGTCAGAACCTGGGTGCAGCAATGACTTATTTGGGAAACAGCTTAACTCAACCCAAAACAAAGAATTTCGAGAAATGTACAAGTACAGTCATATTACTGATCAGTGTGATCCTTTTATGATACCTTGCGGTATTTTGATAGAGACTTCTAAATAGGCCCCTATTTCTACCTTCACAAACCTCAGGTAGTTAAGCAAGCGGCATCAGGTTGACAAAAGACCTCAGTTCAGAGAAAACCATCCCCATTATATCCCTCCCTTTATGTTCAGACAGCTAAGGTACTGGGGAGAGGCCCCAGTTAGTTCAAGTTGCCTATCAGCTAAAATCCAAACTTATGGTCACCTCTGAGGCCCACTCCCAAGTTCCTGCCCCTGCCTCTGTACCAAACTGCTTCTATACTAGACTCCCAAACAGAGGTCACAAGGCCTTCCTGGCCAGAGGCGGGACAGCAGGGAGGGGGAACAGCTTAGCCAGGATCATGGGCAGCAGACATCAGTGGTCAGAGCCCTATCTGAAAATAAAAATAAAAGCTGTGTTCTGGCTTGGCACAGCTCCATGACCTCTCTCATTCCAAGTCTCAGTTTCTCCCATCTACAGAGGACTTGGTTATGGAGTATGGTAGTACATGCCTGTAATTTCACCTCCTCAGGGCAGAAGGATCACAAGTTCAAGGCCATCCTGGGCAGCTTGGCGATTTAGCAAGACCCAGTTTCCAAAAAACATCTAAGGATGTGGCTCAGTGGTAGAGAGCTTGACTTCCATGCATGAAGCCCTGGGTATACTCCCCAGCCCAGGGCTCGGTCTCCAAGGTGGTCTCCAAGGACTCACTAAAGCAAGCTTCTTTTAGTCCTCACAACTCAACATTCAGAGCAATGGTCTTTCCTGTGCTCAAGTGCTGGGCTTGAGGGCTTTCAGGGTTTACAGCAACAGAATAAAGTCGAGAGGGTCTAGCTTCCGAATTCAGTAGTTTGGCTTAATAATAACTCATCACAGTTCTTTGCCCATGTGGGACAGGCTATTTTAATGGGTGCTCAGAAGAGGAGCAGTTCAGCTGGACCTGGTAGGACAGGTCTGTGATCCAAGCTACTAAGGAGGATTGAAAGTTCAAGGCCAGCCTGGGTAACTCAGTGAGCCTGGGTCTCAAAGAGTGAAGGGGTAGGGGGATAAATGGCTCAGTCGTAGGGCTCACCTAAGCCTAAATTCGATCTCCACCACTACCAAAAGAAAAACAAAATGAAGCAAATCAGTAAGATCTGAAATACCTAGTGAACAGCTTGAACACCCCCATGGCATTGCTAACCAGAGTCCTCACAACAAAATAGAACCAGGGGCATCTGGGGTCCTCAGATCCTATATAGGCAAAGAAATGAGATCCTCAGGCCTTTCGGCCATCCAAGGCTCCCTTGTCCAATGTCAGCTTTCAAAGCTGGGGTGAGTGAGGGACCAAAATCCATCAGTTCTGCCTGAGGCACCATCACTCAGCCTCCAACTGAACCTTCACTGCAAGAAAAAAGACCTTGCCTTTGCCAGAGAATGTCAGATACTGATAATTGTGGGGAGGGGAACAGGCACGGATAGGAAAGAGGAAGAAAAATTGGACCTCCTGAGGCTAAAACTCTGAAATGTAACAAAGGCTGTGCACAGTGGGCACCTCGTTGTCTGTTCTCGACCTCTGCTATCAGGTGTTTTTTCCTTTTAGTCCCCAAAGCTCCCATCCACTCCCCTGTGTGGGCCTCCGTTTCCCCGGCTGTAAAATGTGGGTGTTAAGTGTCAAGTGGCTGTAGGAGTTCAGTGATGATGTGGGTGTGAATGCCCTTACAAATTCAACAGCTGCACACTTTTAGTGACAGTCTGGAAGCTGATTGGGCCACAGGGTTGGAAGCTTCCTTGAAACAGCTTAGATGCCATCAACAATCTTTGTCAGGAGTTTGGGCAAGGAAACTGCTCTGTTTCCAAACTTGACATGATCCACCTCTCAGAGCTGAGAGTTCATATCTACCTTCTTCATCGTGCTTCATGTCCATTGCTTATCTTTTAGGCATTTTACTTAGCTCAAAGCATTCAACTATCATTACATCTTACGAGGTATCTATTAGCCCTGACAGAACCTCATGGTACCCTGTGAGGTTGGTTCTATTAGCCCCACACAGGTGAGCACAGTGTTAGGCTACCTTTTCCAGCCGCCCCCCCCCCCCCAATTCCTCACCCTGCATTCCCATCTATCTGATTACTCCTTTCACTGCCGAGGACCCTTTTCTGACATTGCTCCACAATTTCAACACAGTTCACAAACTATGCTTTCCCGGGCCTTGGTGCCTGTGACCTCATATTATAAGTCAGAATTTCCAGATAGAAGTCATAAATGCTGGAGTTTGGTTTGCGGTTTTTGGTTTTGGTTTTGTTGATTTGAGACAGTCTCACTATGTAGGCTGGGCTGGCCTGGAACTCACAAAGATACACCTGTCTCTGCCTCTCAAGTGCTGGGATTAATGGCATGTCCCACTCTTGTATTGTTTCGAGAAGTCACACGTTCTGAGACAGTGAATATGTTGCTCTTGCTTCTGCATAGATTTCCAGAATTTTACCAATCCAGTTCCCAGAACCAGACATATCTAGAAATCCCAAGAAAGGGATTATAACATCCATAGATTGGATTTTTATTCTTAATTTATTTTGTGTGGACTGTGTAATTGTGGGTGCATGCATGCATGCATGCGTGTGTATGGAAGTCAGAGGACAACTTTTCAGTTGGTTCTTTTCCCCCTTGCTTTAAGATTAGACTCTCCTATTTCTGCCACTGTGCTGTGTACTCCAGGTTAGCTGGGCAGTGAGCTTCCAGTCGATTCTCCTGCTCCACCTCCCATCTTGTAATCAGGGTGTGGGATTACAGAGGCTGGCCCACCACATCTGGCGTTTTGCCTGTTTCAGGGCTGTTTTGCTTATGTTCCAGAGATCAGGTTCAGGTTGCCAGGCTTGATGAGCAAGCACGTTTACCTTCTGAGCCATTGGCCCATAGATGAGGCTTTTGAAGCTAAATCCAGCTGCAAAATCCTGGGTGGTGGAATGGAGGTAGACCTGGAACTTACTAGAGTGCACTGTCGAGAAAGGGCTCAGGAGGTGGGTCATGGGAAAACCGCCCCTTCAGTGGACAGCTGAACATCAAAAGCTTCATCACTCTCACCGAGCCTCATCTAATATTTAAGAAAGTTAATATTATCGTTATGCCAACCAGAGGATAATGTGAAGCAGCAGCCAGTCTCATAGGTCCTGGGTCTGCGTCTGGGTAAACTGCTAGACATCTCCATACTTCATTTTCTTCACCCAAGCAAGAAGAAACTAGACCAGATTATCCCCAGGTCTCCACCACTTGGAGGTCAGGGGGTGGGGGTGGAGGACCGTGTAAAACCCCAAAGCTGCCCTCTGATTAGGACTATGGAATAGGGGGAGGAAAGAAGGATCGTTTGACCAGCAAAACCTGCCAAGCACTTTACAGTAGCCTGAAGGCTTCCTGGAGGAGAGGTGAGGGTAAGATTAGCAGTAGCGGACCCCAGGGAATGACTGGGTGTGAAAACAATCTGCAGATTCTTCACATTGGATGAGTTGTTTCCCAGGGCTGTTCAAGATGACCTGGGCGACTTGCAGACAGTGCAGACAGCCACAGACCTGAGCCCAGGTTGGAAATTGATAACCCGTCTCCCCTCTGACTCGCCCTCTTGCTGTGTGCCCGCAGGACCACCACGAGCTTGCCCTGACATGTGTGCTATTCTGGGCGGGCAGCCAGACAGAGCTTGAGGCGTGCAGGGCGTGAGCGTGCAGATGCCGCAAGCAAAGAAGAAAAGCACAGCGCCCCTGACCCCAGCGCCCCCGGGCCGTGTCCAAGGCCGACTGCGGAGCCTGCTGTCTCCCGCGCTGTGCTGTGCCTGTGGCTTGTGCGTGCTGCTGGCCGGCCTGAACGTGACCCTGGTGGGAGCTTTCGCAGCCTCCCTGCCTGGGCACAATGCGCCACTGGTGGTGGGGCCGGCGCTGCTTGTGCTGGCGCTTGGATTCTTCGCTGCCTGCTGCGTCTGCAGCCGCCGGAGGCCAGTGTCCCGCACGCGTTCCTCAGCCACCGCGGGCCAGGGTGGCAGGCACGCAGGGACCGTGGCACTGGAAATGGAGAGCAGCGAGCGCACAGCGCAAGACACGACCGCAGTGCAGCTCAGTCCTGCCGCCTCGGCCGCATCCTCTGGCCACTCCAGCCCAGGGCCCGGTGGTCTCTTCGCCCTGGATCCTCCCGTGCCAGCAACCTCGGCCGGCTACTTGCCGCACACCGAAGGGACCCAGCTCAACTTCCCTAGGGACCTGGTTGCCTCGTAGTGGGCCAAGAGAAGTGGGGAGAGGTAATGCCAAGGACTGAGCATAAGTGGCCTCATCTGTCCCATCTCTAGAACTTCCAAAAGGGAAAGTGTAGTGATGGCATTGGCTCTCAAACCCCTAAGAAGGCAGCAGACTTTGACCTTTTAGTTGGGGGTCTCTAAGCTCTACTTCATCCTCCCTTCTCCTCTCCACATTGATCTGGTACCCTGTCCCTCCCCATGGTGTTTGAGCACTGTGGAGGAAGCCTCCTCCAACTGAGAGGATCTAGTCAGGACCTCGGGGTGGAAAGAGGGGTGAAGGATGAACTAGCTATACCAGACCCTGTGCACTCTGACCGGCATCTAGCCCTTCTTTCTGCCCTTTAGGTTTGATTGGGGAACAAAGGCTCTGACTCCAGGATGGTCCCTGGGAAAATCTGGATGGCACATACCTACCCAAAGGTCAGGAGACAAAGGGACAAAGGTCAGGAGAGCTGAGGCTGGGGTCCTCAGTGGTGGGGAGGCTTTCCAATCCTGAAGGGCCCAATGTGATTTTCACTGCCAGCAACACCCGTCACCAAGGCTGTGCCACACTGTGCGTTCTAGCTGTGCCTCGCTCCTCAATAAAGCACCTTCTGAGTCAGTACTCTGTGGTGCGCAGGTGGAGGGAGGTGTTGACTGGGGCCCTCTGAGTGCCTGGGAAGATTCTGTGACTCTGAGCCAGCCTCTCCTCTCATTTAAGGGATCCAGTGCTGGCCCACCATCTCTTGACAGTGGTAACTCCTTGCCCGTCCACTCTGGGCTTCATAAGCCTTCTTTCTCTTTCCATGGTGGGCTCTGATGCTCTTCTGCCATGGACCAGGTACTTCCCAACAGCTCTGAGGCCCTTTCTTCCTCCATCTACTGCCTTGCCCTACACTCCTCTTCTCCTGTCTCCCCATTCCAGGGACATAAAGGAAAGCAAATTTACCAGCAAGTATTGAGTAAGTCATCCTCATTAGTTCACATGGGTCAGTAGCCCCTAATCTTTGAAGCACTCAGCACTGGGAAACACATGGCCTCTTCTTACAGCATCTTGTCACCTCTATTGAGTATCTGTCGGTATGCATGTGTGTATGTACATGTGGGGGTGTAAGTCTGGTCATTCCCAGGCTCATACTCTTGTGGATCAGTGCTCTGCAGTCCCAAACACCATCTGCTTCCACTTCCTTGAAAGTAGCCAAAGAGAGAGGCCCCCAGTGATGCTGCCTTCGGTGTCATCTGGACCCCCTTTCTCCCAGCACCTTATAAGGAGACACCCCATACACTCTACAATGCTAGGCCCAGTCCAAAACCCTCCCAGTTGACAGATGCCCCAAATTACACCCTCAGGACTCTTTCCTCCCCCACCACCCCGCCCCCTCCCACACACACGAGAAGACTTTCTGATCTTGTTGTGTAGCTGGCTACTGGAGAGGAGAAATGGACTTCAAATAAGGATTCTGATCAGTGGATCAATAGCTCAAAAAATCAGTGCTGTGCCAGGTGGTGGTGGCCCACACCTTTAATCCCAGCACTTAGGAGGCAGAGGCAGGTGAATCTCTATGAGTTCAAAGACAGCCTGGTCTACAGAGTGAGTTCTAAGACAGCCAGGGCCACACAGAGAAACCCTGTTTAAAAAAAAAAAAAAACAGTCGTGTGAGGAGACTGAGGTGGACATATGGACTCCCTGGAGTCCCTTCCTGCCACCCCCCCACCCCCACTGAAGATGAACTCAGCTCCATCTCCTCCCTCCATCTCCTCAGTCACACAAGTGCCCTGGGGCCCACTTCCCAATCAGTGCCAGCGAAGAACCCTCAGGTCTCCAGACCTGTCATGCCAGATTCTCCTCCCTTCATATGATTTCTCCAGCGACAGCTAAGGGGACAGACCCTTTCAGGGCAGTAGGGCCAGTGAGAACTTGGAGCAGCCCCACTCCATAGACACAGTAGAGCCAAAGGTGAGCTCTGCCCTCACATCTCTGCAGGCCTCTCCCAGGCAGGGCACTGGGAGACTGTTTCTGTCAAGGTGAGGATGGGATTCTAAAAGCAAGTTCCCTGACTGTGAGGAGTCCTTGAGGGCTATGTAACACCTGCAAGGGGCACTGTAGAGGACCAAACCCTCTAACCTGACCCTCTTGGTTCCCCCAGAGGTCCAGGGCTGCAGTGAGGACACAGAGCTGATCCTTCTGAATGCATAGTGCTACCCAGGACTTGCCATGGGGGAACTTTGGGGTGGTCCAGGGAATCCTGCCTCTCAGAGGAAGCTGCTGCTGGCCCAGACTAGGGAACCCATAAGGGGTCAGAAACTGGGGTTTCTTCCTGCCAGTCCCTTGGGAAGAAATGAGGGTGGCCACTGGGAGCTACTTTATACCAACGAATCCAACCATTAATTTCTGAACCTTGCCGTGTGCCCAGTGCTAGGAGTATACATTCTCCTTGGGGAAGCAGACAGTAAACAGGACCGGAGCTCTGGCTCCATAGGTAACAGTACTTGCTACAGCAGCATGAGGACCTAAGACCAGGTTTCTGCACCCACGGAGAAAGCTGGGTCTGGCCACGCTTATGAACCTGTAACACAGGGCACTGCTAGGGGGCCTGGAGTGTTACTGAGGCTGGCTGGCCACCAACCAAGCTTCAGACTCAGCTTGAAATGTCCTGTCTCGAGAGAATAGGCAGAGGGTGACAGCGCAGGACATCTGATATTCTCTTCTGGCCACTGCACCTGTGCACACATGCATGGGCGCCCATGTCCACACATGCACATGTGTCACATTGACACATGCACACACAAGACCGAGAGACACCCGTAAACAGTCCTCTGCTGGAAATCACAATAGGAAGGTGTGTGTCTTAGGGACCTGGGTAGTTTGGGAGGTCTTCTCTGAGAGAAGCTAAGTTCTGAATGGAATGGCAAGAGTCAGCCATGCTAATGTCTAGAGAAAGAACATTTCAAGTTCAGGAATATGGCCATTGAGAAAGCCCTGAAATAAGTATGAACTTGTGTGTCAAAACAGAGAGAAGGGTTAAAGAGGTTGGAGGGAGTGAAATTAGAGCAGTGTGGAGGGGTTATTGCTCAGCCCGTGGCAAGCTTCGTAAGGCTGGGGTGAGAAGTCAGGATTGTATTCTCGGTGAGGTGGGAGTCACTGGAGGGCTTTAAGCAGGGAAGTGGCATGGGCTGATTTATGATTGTAACGACTGCCCTGACTGCTGTGTGGGAGACAGTGTTGAGGGGAGAGCCGTGGTAAAGACGTAAAGACAGGGCAGGTTAGGAGGTGGCTGCAAAGTTGAGTGGGGGCGGGGGCTGAGCAGTCACTGTGAGCAGTCACTGCACCTGTCTCTGAGGTAAATGGGACAGTCACCTGCTGGATTTCCTGGGGAAGGGGAAGAAAGGGCTCTGGGAGGAAGTACTAATATTTGGCACAATCCCTGGGGTATAGGTTGGGGGGGCATATTCTGGGAGAAACTTAGGAGCTGTCAGCCCAGAAGAGCAGTCCTGAAGGAGCAGGTCTACAGGCCTGGATTCTGGAGAAAAGGGCCCTGGTATGTAGACCTAGGAGCCTCTGGCCTATGAGTTGTAGTGTGTGAGGAGAGGTAGAGACAGAGACCTCCAACCTAGTTTAGTCTAACCTGTAAACCTGGTGGAGAAGGACCCTAGGATGTTCTGAACCTCTGTCAACCTTCAGCCGATGCCAGTGAGTTTCTGTGAGGATGATGGCCAGGAGTTAGGGATTAAGAAGACGAATGAGCCGGGTGGTGGTGGCGCACGCCTTTAATCCCAGCACTCGGGAGGCAGAGCCAGGCGGATCTCTGTGAGTTCGAGGCCAGCCTGGTCTCCAAAGCGAGTACCAGGAAAGGCGCAAAGCTACACAGAGAAACCCTGTCTCGAAAAACCAAAAAAAAAAAAAAAAAAAAAAAAAAAAAAAAAAAAAAAAAAAAGAAGACGAATGAGAACCAGGAAGTGGAGATCTTCATCATGTTCACTGCTACACGTGACATAGGTAGGTGAACGATAGGACCTGTCAAGCCAGTGAATAAAAGATGCGACTCTCATCACACAGCTGAGACATAGGTCCCTGACAACAGAGATTATAGATGCCAACTGGCCAGGAAGGTAGAAAAGCTGTGGGGTGTCCACTGCCCACTTGCAGATTCCTGTGTGTCTACTCCTCTGTTGGTGTGGTGTGCCGGGATGCAAGAGCATATAGATGGCCAGATGGGCTTCCATGGCTATTCCAGAGGAGCAGGCTTCCCAAAGCAAAAGAAGGCTAGACCTGAGAAAATCAATACTATTAGAGACAGCCACCAGAGGGCACCCTGAGTACATGACAGGGAATTCCAGCCTCCGGAACAATTTCGACTTTTTCTCTTCTGAAGGCCAAAGACCCAGAGGAACTGGGAAATCGAGGGAACAGGGGGTGGGGGTTAGTCACCTAACTGTATTAAGTAAATCATCCATTTCTACGACTAGATGATACTGAGGAAGCCTTGACCTGGAAATAGAATTCATCAAGGTCACAAATAAGTCCTCAGTCTATCATAGACTGAATCCTAACGTTGATCTTGAACACTAACCCTGGTCCATACTGAGCCCTGGTCCTTGATTATAAAATGAACTTGAGTCTGGTCACACTCTGAGCCCTGATCCTGCTTTGTTCTGAACCTGGTCTTTATTACCAAGTTCTCTGATCCTGTTCCATAGGCCTTTATTATATACCCTGGTCCCCCTGACCTTCATTATATATTGAACTGAGACCTAGATACAAACTGAGTTTTGCTCATGAACACACATTAGCTTTTGTTTTGGCTATAGACTGAGCTTTGGCCCTGGTAAAAAAAAAAAAAAAAAAAAAAAAAAAAAAAAAAAAAAACCCTGACCCTGGTCCATATACTGAGAGCCCTGACTGACAAAACCCCAATCCTGACTCTGGTCATGGACCTCCGACACTTGACAAAGATGGGACTTTTATCATGCTCACACTCAGTCTTGATCACAATGCCTTGCTCTCCTGACACTCCACTGACATGAAGATACGGGGAGACTCCTATCAGGTCAAGCTTCCTCCCCCAAAGTAAGTACCGCCTAAAGCACTTCTGTGGGGACAAAAAAGAAGTCTAGGTCTCTGGTTTGCCCAGAAACTTCAGGTCCTGGCAAGGTTTCTGGCAGGGTAATCAGAGAAAGACTGGTTCTAGAACATCTGGGGTACAAAGGAAGAGGGAGAGGCAGCTAGGATTCTCAAGGTATCCCAAGTGCAAGTGCTGATGGGAAGCCGCATAGGAGCCTCTTCTCTCTGTACCTGTGGCTGCCTTGGAACCTCAGACAAGTCCTGCTGCTTCCTGGGCTCCACTCTCTGCTACCTGTCATAGAAAATGTGAGGTGACATTCCATGTAAAGAAGAAATCCAGGCCATAATGAAGACCCCAGATCCCCACCACGTGCCCTTGCAGAAAGAGAAATCTCCTCATTCTGGAAGCTCCCTTTGGCTGGTCACTCCAAGCAGGCAAGAAAGAAGTAAGGCATGAGCAAGGTCTCCCAAGGTCTCTGTTTCTGGGGTCTGATGTGTGTTAGGGATGGGAGGCCCACGAAGGGACACTGACAGATTTCATTTCTACCCTTCCCAGGGACTGGTATGGGTGCTCTGCCCCTGCAGGGCCACACCAGGCTCTGCCAGGCACACAGGACTTTGGATTCACCTAGGGAGGTACTAAGGGTGAGGGTGGGGGCTGAGCCAGGCAAGAGCTGGGGCTGAGAAGGGGGGCAGCTTGAGTCAAAAAACGCTGACGCTGAAGACAATGAGCTCTCCAAGGCTGAGGCAACTCATTTGGTCCCGGCCACGCTTTATTAAATTCTCATAAAC